GCTTAAACTAATGCTCTGTTGGCTTCAGGTCGCGGGTGATGGAAATCTTACTGGTGTTACGTGCCACAGAACAGAAAGATTTGATGCAAGCCTTGAAAGGCTTCCACCGTTTCAAAGGAAAATCAATTTTTAAATTGCTGACTGACTATTAGGATGGCTGCTCATCCGCACCCGCTGCCCCGCGGGCCGTGGGAGGGACGCGCAGCAGTCTGGCGGTGGGATGCGCTGCGGTCCGTCGCTGTCGTGGTGGGTGTCTCGGGGCCAGTGTTCTGTAAATGTCATCTTGAATTGCATCGTGAGAAAAGTGCTTAGAGTGGAAGCTGGTGCTGGGTGACAGTGCGTCTGGGGAAGGCAAATGAGAGGCAGTGAGGTGATCTCAGAATGGCATTGATGTGATTAACTTGAGGTCAGGGGTTCACACTAGAGTCCCAGGCTTGGCTTTTTCCTGCCCATACCACTGGACATCTGCTAATTCTGGATAGAGGGGAGAATCCAGGAAACAGCTATCATTGTAGGTCCTGCAGGAGGAAGGAAACTTCATTAGGACAATGAGGGCTCCTGCGAAGTTCAGCCATGGGCATAAAACATGGTGTTATGGGTGGGGAGGAAGGTGGGATATTCACACGCTGCAGGTTTGGGGTGGGCTCGGCATGCAGCACCCTGCCTTCACCCAGTTTGCTCTTGCCCAGCAGTCCCACTCCCCCAGCAGCCCTCCTGGCGCGAGGAGGCAGGAGAAAGCCAAGCTCCGGCAGCCTCTCCAGAGTTTTGGATGATGCTTGGATGGCCACAAGCAGAGCTGTTGTGTTTTCAGCCCACCGCTGGCCAGTGGCAGGGGCTTTGTGAAGGGGATGTGCTATGAGAGAGCAAAGCGGCTGCTGGAGGGGGAGAGCTTGTGGCCAACCCCTCCAGCTGTGTCCATCCCACCGCCCTGGGACCACGCCTGCCTCCGCTTTCTGGGTGTGTGGCCTTTGCTTGCAGGGGTGCCGCAGCACTGCTCTGCCTCGCCTACGGTCTTGCTTTCCTGCCCGGTAGTAAGCTGGGGTTGAGAGCCTTTTAATGGGATGCTCTCAGGGAGCAAGTCTGCAGAGCAGCCCTCCTGGCTGTAGACTGCAGTACCTGGTGGGAACGTGGGAGGAGGAAGAGGAGGGTGGTGCTTTCCTGGAGCACTTCTGCTCCAGGCAGAGGCTCGTGCATCACCTGGCGATCCCAGAGTTAGGTGGCTTTCCAGGGATGAGCTAGGAAGCGACAAGTGAGAGGGTGCCAGGTCCAATGTGGAAAGGACCGGGTTTTGTCATAGGTAGCCTAGCCCTCATCTTGCGGCACCTCTCTTGACAAGCTACTGCTTCTTTTGCTGCATGGCTTTTTGTTTGCTTGCACAGAGCAGACGAGATGGTCTATGGGATTCTTTCTTTGCTGTTTGTCTTAAAGCTCCAATTGGGATTGGCTCCTGGCTTAGTCTGTGGAGCTGCTTGCCAGAGGAAAACCCTGAGGTCAAATCTTGTTGATATTTTGAAAAATGACTGCTGTATCTGCAGAGTAATATCCAGAATTGATGTCCCTCCCTCACACTAGAGCTTGTCTTGAGGCCAGAAGTGGGGGATGCATTTTCTATCTGTTTACTGTGGGATTCTCACTCCTTCCTCAGCTCCCTCCCCGCCTCGCAGGATGGACCTCGAATCTGATGCAGTCCAGCAGTTCCTGCTTCCTCTGTCCCGGTTTCCCTGGGACGGGTGTCTGGGAGGAACCTGAGCAAGGGCATCACCGTCTGCATGTTAAAGAGCCTTTTGTTTCCCAGCTCTGTGCTGGAGTATGGAGGTTTATGGGTTATCACTAGAAAGCTGGGCTTGAAATACTTGACAGATGCCAGCTGTGAATGGTTGTAGGTTCAAATGAGAGTGTCAGACAGCGACAGCAGTTTAATTAAAATAGAAATACTCTGAGGGTTTTTTTGTTCCCTCCTCCCTCTGTCTTCCCACAGGAACGAGCCCAGGATTGCTCCTCATTCCATGAAACCTCCCTGCTGCTACCAGCCTCTGCTTCACAGCTCTGCTCTGTGGGAGGGAAGGAGGAGAAAGGGGTGCTCGGTGCCAGGGCTGGAGCACTGCCGGCTGCTCAGCCGGGGTCCCCTCCGGCCCCCAGTTACCCGAGCTCATCTCCCCGCCACACTGCTCCCAGGCTCTCCCCGCAGCACTTTGCCCACACTGCTTCGACATGTCCCCAGCCACAAATTTGTCGCTATTGCCTGCTCTCTGTGCCCGTTCAACCTCTGCATGAATGCGGGGCTGGCCCAAAGTCCTCTTTCACAGGGGAAAGTGCCACAGCTGCAAACTTGCTGAAAAGGCACAGAGAGGGCCTGGAGATGCTTTCAAGTTGTTCTTCCAAGAGCTGAAGGAAGCCTTGTGGCCAAAGAAACAGTCAGACAATTAACAGGGCTGCTCCTCTGGGACAGCGGGATGCCGGTTATTCGCACTGTGTTCACAGACTGTAAGGCAGAAGGATGAAAGAACAAAACGTTCCCTTACTATACCTCTATTCATCAGTACTTTGGTGGGTTGGAGACTGAGACTCATCCATAGTGGGTGAGTTGTCTGTTGCTTCTCTGAACAAAGGAGAGCAAAAAAGGAGGAAAGAGGAGAGAGGAAATGTTAAAGAAAAGAAGTGACACAGACATTGTTACGAGCTTATTAATCCAGTGGGGAAACAAGTTGATGAATCATCTTTAGAAAAAGTTAGTGACACAAAAACATGTTGGGGACAGCTGTCAATCTTTTGAGTCGCGCTGGAAGGGCGCAGCCTGCTCCTGCAGCAGGGGACTCTGTGTTGTGCATCTGATGGCAAACTTGAGCTGCTCCTGCTGTAGTGCTACCTAGGCCTTGGGTGGTATGCTCAGGCATGAAATAAGCACTGATTTGCCTCCAGTTCTTTTTGCACTGGTTGTTGGTGCAGGGCCTAAGCTATAAATCTGAGTAACTCCACTTTCACCAGCTGAGAATTTGGCTTGATGCATTTTTGCTCTGCGAGACAGGGTGCAGGAGTTTTCCTGAATGGAAAAATAAGAAAAGTTGGGATTTTCCAGACGGATTTCTCAGCTGGCTGCTCACCAGTTTTACTTCTGATCATCATGGAGATATTTAGAGGAGTTAGGATTGGGTTGGGGCTGAGGCCAAGATGTGAGTCCAGATTTATCCTGTAACAGTGGCCATTCCAGCGTACAGTAAAGCTTAGCTGCCCTTCTGCCTGTCTTGCGATCCCTTGACTTTTTGTGAAATGGGACCAGGAACATTCTCCTGTTCTAAAGCAGGAAGCATATGCAAAGACCATGTGAGGGTGGATGTCAAATGTCTGAATTTAAAATCCAAGGTAGGCCTAAGGGGGTTGTGATTATGGTTTTCCTCATCTCCATTTTAAAGTGCAGTCACAAGCTGGAGTAAAACCAGAGGTCAAACTTGGTCATAGGTGACCAGAAGAAATTAAAGAGCATGAGATTTTCCAGTGGCTGCACACTGAAATGTTTGCAAAGTTACTGGTCCCAATTCACAACTCAGGGGATGGTCTCTGTTTTCCTACTCTAGGGCCTACAGTATTTTGAGGACTGTAGTCTGAAACTTTCTAGCTGATCTCACCAAACTCAATTTAGATGCAAAAATCTGGGACGTGCTGAGTTAGATGAGATCTGGAAATTATCTTTATTTCATGTGGCAGGACTGAGTTACAGGAGATTGCTAGAGAATACCCGTGGGAGCTTGCAAAAGGCTTTTTGTGAGGTAGGGGGTTCCAGGAGTAAACAAAGAGGTGCCAAAGAACCCAGTTCCTGTATTTACATGAGACAAAGGAGACTGTCCAAGCAGGAAGAACCTTCAAGGCTTCTTTCTCTGTGGATCTGGCACTGCTTAGAGCAGTGCTGCTGGGTGTGGATGGCACTGCCAAACTACAGCCCCACCACTATGAGAGCATGGGTGGGAGGCTGGAAACGGCATAGGCTGTTGAGCACCCAGAAAATGCTCCCCGTACCTGTGCTCGCCCTTTGCACGTGTGCAGGGAGGTTTTTCTCATGGCACGGAGCAAGGTGAATTCTCTAACCTGATCCCACAGACACTCACCCAGTCTGCCATGTGAGAATGTGGTGGGGACTGCCCGGCGGCGTGGCTGCTAGTTCACTCGATGGTGTTGAACTCCTCTGGCTGTGAGGTAAGGCAGCTGAAAAACAACCAAAGGGTGGAGAAAAATAACCGGTGAGGTGAGGGCACAAGGGTCAGGCTGGTTCAGAAGCATCAGCTGGTCAGACCAGCAGAAACATGTCCTGCTGTGAGTAAACACAGCCTGGGAGCCAGACCTCATCCTGTTCCTGGATGGCTGCGCCCAGACGCAGCGCAGGAGCAGCCAGCTTGGTGCTGACGTTGCTGCGTGTCACGGGCCGGATCCATCCTTAGCTCTGCAGGAATCCTTTTGTTTCAGCCCAGCCTCCAGCTGAATACAACAACCTGGACTCTCTCGAGCCCTGCCTGGGAAACATCGCATCTCTCCCATCACGAAAGCTAATTGGCTTTGCTGCTGCCTGGATGGTGGGGCCCAGCCTTGCATCTCCAGGGGACCTGAACTGGAGGAGCCCACCATCAGGCTCAGCCTCCTGCTTCCAGGGGTGGTGGGAGATGCTCAGTGTCCCTAGGGGTCAGAGCTGGCACTGGCGAGAGTCTGGAAAAATACACTGCTTCAGGTGCAAAGGAGGAAGACAGCTCTGAAGATTTCAAAAGCTACAGCTACCTTTCACTGTGCATCTGTAATAAACAAGTTGGGCTTTGCTGACCCTACTACTGTGGGACGAAAGGAAGGTTTAGCTTATTTCAATGAAGAAAGAAGCAAGCTGAACTAAAAATGTACCATTGGCAGTGGTTCTCGGGGGAGTTTCCCTGGTGAGAGTCCAGCTAAGAAATCCACCTGACTGTTCTTTTTTCCTCCTCAAGTCCATACAGCACTGACCCTCCGAATTTAATCTGTGCCAAGAAGTATGATCCTCTTTGAAGGACAACATGAAGTCCAACTGACCTATCAGCTAGGGCTAATCAGCTAAAATGATGGATATTTCTATGTGGCAACCCCTTCTGTACTGTTAAATTCTTTAGCTGCTGCCAAATGATACTTCAAGAGAAAAACAAATTTTAATCTGCTCCTTGGAGCCGACAGCCCCTGAGGTCAGTATCCTCCCACAGCTGTAATTGGGAGCTGACTCTGAACACAAACACAATCTATGCTGCCAACTGGTCACGACAAACTGTGATTACTGAGCGCGCTTGCCCCTGTGCTGCCCAGATACCACATTTAGATGTAAAGCCCCGGCTGGGTAGGGGAATGGACTGACTGACGACAGTTTTTACGTGCTCTCCCCCCAACCTCACCACTTTCCTTTTTAGATTACCTAACTGACCTGGGATCGTTTCGAAAGCTAAGCAAGGCAAAGCTTTTCAATGTTCCAGCACTTTGTGTTGCTGGGTGTCGCTTAATCAAAGGGGGGAAAAGAGATTTTTCAGGGGAGACACAGGACGGTTCCAGCAGCTACTTGCTGTGTCTTGGTCCACATTTGGGCCTCCTGCAAGTGTTGGTGTCACACATAAATCAGCCTCTTCTCAGGCAACTGTTGGTGGCCCATGAGGAGCCTGGTGTCAAACCACCTCTCTGACTCCACGCTGCAGTCAGCAGTAAATACAAAGCCCCACTGGTGTCAGCATGGTGGTCACCGTGGAGCAGGCGTGATGCTGGGATGTCAGAAAGCCAATGGCCAGCACTGGTCTGCTCAGGGAGGCCACGAGCAAGGCTGGAGCAATGGTGTCTCCCACATAAAGCCTGAGGCATGTGGAAGGGTGGGGATGGACACAGTGCAAACTGATTAACCAGCAATCCCATCCACGCGGGGCTGGATTCAGGTTTAGATCAAGGACTTGCTAAATCCAAGCTGGCTTGTCCAGCAGTGACTGATGGCCAGGAAATATTTAACCTTGGACTGTTTCATAACACATAGTGGCCTCCTCAGTTTAATGAATGTGACTGTTTTCTTACCATTTAATATTAACAGCACAGAGGAGTGCAAAGCTCTGTACATGACAGAGAAGCATAATAATTCACAAACCTAAGCACTCCGAATATCAGGATATTATCAGCACAGCTACTGGAGCTGCATGGGAAAACCAAGACTCAGCAGCGCACAAAGATGTCATCGCTCAAACATTTTCACAGGGGGCGGAGGGGGTGGGATGCTCCCCACTTAACCTTTCTTATGCTTTTGGTGTTTCGCTGAGGACATGCATTCTCCTGGTCTGTGCTGAGCCCCCGCTTGCTTCATTGCTCTCCTCGCTGTGATTACTAAGAGTGACCCCCCCACCGCAGTTTCTCCACATTCGGCCCAACTGCACTCTGAGGAAAGACCTGGTAACAATGGGGCTTCAGTTCCTCCCTGTCTTTTGAGACCATCATTGCAAAGTGATGATTTCCATGGAAAAAAATTCTTACCCGATGAGTGTCTCAGACAAGGCTCACCCCACGGCGTTACGCTTACAGGCTTGGTGAGCAGCATGCGAAGGCCAGGTAATGCGCTACGGTCTGGCACTGCTCTCCAGTTGGGGTGTAACGCCTGGCACGGAAGCAGGCTGCATGAAGCCCCCATCCCTCTCACCCCTTTGCCCGGGACTGTCTCTCACCTGATGTTGCTTTACACATCTGAGGCATTCTCGTGACCCGGCTGTGTGCCACAAAGGTGCTTTGCGAAGATGTGCTGTACTGGGAGCTGCTGTCTGAGGAAGTGGAGCTCGTGTGCGAGAGGCGGCTGTGCTCCTTGTGGGAGGCCGTGGACCGCTGGTACCAGAGCCGCAGCTCGTCCGACACGGCAGTCCTACCCGAGCCTTTCTCGTGGCCCTCCCTGCCCAGAGATGGAGTCCTTATGATTTGAGAGCGGGAGGGGGTGAGCCTGACAGAGTCCACTTCATCCCCGTGCCAGTTCTCCTTAAACATCCCCCCCGCTGTGTAGGAATTGGAGGTTTTGAATTGTGCTTTCACGCTGTAGTGTCCCTCCTGGTCGTTCTCCAAGCTCCGCACCACCACGGGTGTGGAGCTGCCCTCGATGTACAGGGGATACTCTTTGATCCTGTACTGGGAGGAGGGTTGGCTCTGGCTGTGCAGGTAGACGCGGTGGTGCCCCGTCCCATTCCTCGCAGCCAGGTTGGGCATACTCCCTGAATTAGAAGAGACCAGGTTGCCCGCCGATTTGTGCCTTTGCCTCTGTCGCTCTCTGGCTTTTGATGGGGAGTCCTCTGCCAGGGTGGAGTAGTTGGGGTTCATCTGAGCAGGGTAGTAGTGCTCAGAGCTGGAATGGCTGGTGCAGGAAGAGCAGTCATCCATGGGGTCAGAGCCGTTACTGCTACGAGTCCTTGGGGTGTAGAAATCAGGGCTCCCTGTCTCATTTTCTGAGCCGAGGAGCTTGCCTTGCGACTCCAAACTGGAGCTCCGGTGTCTAAAGTGCTGAGCTAAGCTGTGCAGTCTGGTTGGGCTGATGTCTACTGACCTGCAAGTACCAGGAAAAAAATCCAGGCTAGTAAATCAACAGGACAAACCACTGCCCATCCCCTTCTGCACACAAGGCCAGCTTCACAGGCAAGGGCCTATGAGGGCACTGAAAACCTGGACCCCTCCAGCACTGCGCGGGGCTGTCAGCTGCAAAGCAACCTGCTTCCCCACTGCAGGGTTTGGGGTGACTGGGTCCTACTCCTGTTCCTCTCCAGTCTCCTTGGTGGTGGCATTCAGTCTGCAGCACCACATGGGACACAAACCCTTTCCCAGCCCAATTCCACTGTGGTTTGCCGCCCTGGGATAGACCCAGTCTCAAGAGCAAAACCTGGGGACCTCAAGCCCCGCTCTGCTGGTGCAGCCCTATGGCAGAGTGGTTTGAATCAGCACCATCCCTGTGCTACCAGCTTTACCTTGCTCCAGCTCTGCAAATCCCAAGACCTCAAAGGTGGTGGGATTCCCTTGCAAGTGGCCTGTGAATGCCCTGCACAGGTACAATCCACCTGGTGCCAGACAGACAGACAGACTGCCCATACTTAGACCAGAAGGCAGTGATTTCTCCACTGGCCTTTGAAAAAAGTCGCCTCTGTCAAGCAGCTAGGTTTTACCAGGGCCCAGCCGTGGGTAGCACATGTAGGACTGTCAGGAGGTGACAGCCCTTCAGGCAAACACCCGGAATAGCAAGTTTTCAAGGCTCGATTCATGGCCAAGTCTGGGTGGTCTCCATTCACCCCGGCTGTTTGGAGAGCTTCAGCCATCCGTTCAAGGAGCAGGAAAACCCTGCGACGAGCCACACACCCGCATGACAGATGGCCAAGGCCAGGGCATGAAGTTCATGAATGAGCCACAGACTGAGCAATAGTTATTTCAAACACCCAAACAGCCCCTACCCGCTCAAGGCCACTTCTCAAGCCCTGTGCCAGGCTCATTTCTCATGAAGCTTGGCTCCAGTGTTAACAAACACTGCACTCTTGAAAGGTACTGAGCCCAGAACCTGCAACAAACTTAACCCAGGGCCTTAATGCCTTGTATTGTCTCTGCCCGAGCCTGATGTCTTGGCATGACTTTTGATTTATGCTGAGCTAAATGATGTTAGTGCTGCCCCTTGGGGCAGGATACCTAACAGCACACAGCTTTGGCTCAGCTCTGCTTCCTGCAGTGCCCATGGAGTTTGCCACGAGAGTGAAATAGCAATGAAGCTGAACAATTTGAAAAAAAACCTGCTGAAAATGGGAGTCAAATTGGGCCACATCAAATTGGATCCTTGAGTGGATTGCTTTATACAGGCTCTCTTTCCAGATAGATAAGATCACACATGTGCAGACATTTTATCTACCAGAGAGAATTAACACTACCCAACATTTTGTATCAGACAGGAAACAACATGTTATCTCCAGCTGGATCTATGGAATCACAGAATGGCAAGGGTTGGAAGGGACCTCGGGAGATCATCTAGTCCAACCCTCCTGCTAAAGCAGGTTCTCCTAGAGCAGGTTGCACAGGACTTTGTCCAGGCAGGCTTTGAATATCTCCAGAGAAGGAGACTCCACAGCTCCCCTGGGCAGCCTGTGCCAGTGCTCGGTCACCCTCAAAGTAAATTTACTGCAGAATTCAGCAGTAGCACCACATCCCTTTTAAAAGTGGCACGGGGTTTGTAGCGCCTATAAACAGTCCCTGAGATGAAAGGTCCCAGCAGAAGAAAAGCTTGATCATTTTGAGAGGGAGACGAAGGGCAGGATCACATTTATCTGAAGTGATTTCAGGATCTTGGTTCAGGAGAGATTCCCTCCTGGCAACACTACTTGAGCCTCTGATGTGAACAGGACTGGTTTGTGTCCTTTCCTGAACTGGGAATTAATTAATATCCTGGGGTAAGGATAACACAAAGAATATTTACTTCAGAGTAAGCAAGGTGAGACTGGAGCCAGGAAGACTTACCGCGTGGAGTGGACGTAGTGCGGACTGCGTACCCGTAGATCCGGCGTTGATGGCATGCTGGACTGGGAGTTCCAGTGGGGAAGGCTCCGGATGGGGCTGTTCTGCAGTGAGCTGCTCCCTCCTGCCTCGGCACAGCTCCCAGTGCTGGGGAACCGCTTGTGACTGCTGCAGAGCAAACACCCCGCTTCAGTTCCCGGGCAGGAATTTGGGGAAGGGGCTCCCACATCTCTTTACAGATCTCAGGCACATGTCTGTGATCTCATGGGGGTGAGCGGGAGTTGGGTCAGCTGCTGCTCTGAGCTGCTTGTGCTTCTGCCGTAGCCAGAGGTCAAGGCCAAGCCCTGTCAAAGCCCTCAGATGACCCACCATCCTTCCTTTCTAAACATTTTTTAAAATAACATTGAGATACCAAGCAGCAGTCATGTGGCTGCAGCCTATTTTTAAGACATGCCTATTGGCCAAAACACCTAAAAGTCTCCTTTTGGTAAGGGACAGCTTTGTAAATTTTGAAAGGGCTCTCACCTGTCCCTCCTGAAAGCAGAGGGTATCTCTGTGATGGAGCTTCAAGATAACTGACTCACCTGGAATGACTGTGTGAGGAGCGTTTCTTGACCTTCTCATAGGGTTCATCCAAGGATGACTCGCTCCACATCTTGGGTTTGATGGGGGACTTGTCATAGTCATTGCGGTGGTAATGCATTTGGCGGAGGCCTTCCAGCGACTGCGGAGGAGGAGGCCTGTTGTGCAAGGGTGGCCGGGGAGGGAGTCCTTTGTGTGGGGACTGGAGAGGGGATATTGTGCTGGTGACCTGAGAATCATCTGTGCAGAGAAGAAGGGAGAGAGGTGATGGCTGTGTGATACCTCCAAAGGCAGCACAACCCCGGGGGACACCATCACACCTCCAGAGCCTGCTTCCTTACCCTGTTTCCCCTGGTTGCATTCAGGAGCAACCTGAAAACCCGACTTTCAGAAGTGCACTGGCTGACATTCCCATTTGGGGAGGGAATGGCCAGCAAGAGCGTGTGATAGATTTAAACAATTGAAACATTAAAAGAAAATAAGGGGGCAGTCTAGGACTGTCTTTTGAAAGAATTCAGAGCAGCAGCCGCAGCAATACTCAACTGTTCCAGGCCTGATGTCTGACTACAAGTTAGAGTCAGGGGAAACCGCCCTCAGTCCAGAGCGGTTTTGGTACTAGGAATTTTGGGTGGATTATTACACAGAACAGTTCCTCCATTTTGAGTCTCAATCAAGAGTTCACACATACTTCCCCGTTTCCTTTCTGCCCTCTAGAACATATAGCAGCCAACATACCATCCTCGAGAACAAGGGCATCCGAGAGGGAGCTGTCTTCGCTGGCAATGTTTCCTTCTGAGGGGAAGAAAATATAAAGATGGTCAGATGGTCCCAAGAATCGCAGTGACCGAGTGCTGAACTGTACCATGATCTTCCATCCACTGAGTCTGAGCCGTAAGCAGTCACTCACATCTTCCTCCTCACATAGCCAAGAGGCAAGATTCCTATGAATAACTGACTCAGCCCGCTCTCAGTCTCAGAGGGCCGAGCTGCAGACCAGGTCTCTCACTAGCAGTCTGCCTTTCAAGGGGCTGCTAACTCTTTTCAATTAATGGGGATTAAGACTGAGTCACTACAGAGAGCTGAGATCCCCAGAGGATGAAAATGGCATTGTGCCATTAGCAAGATTTTTATCTTGAGCCTTAAGGACTCTGGGTTTGATCTCTGCCTTCTTAAAATGATCAACCTACTGCTAACTAAAGGCCCACACTAGGTACCAGTTTTGTGTAATTCAGGGAAATGCTTTCTGAGCATTCTCTGTAGCAGCAAGAGAAGCTCTCACGTCCTTGGTGTGCACACATCTGAGCTGCCTGTCCTATCCCATGTCCTCACAGCTGTCTGTTATCCCTGACTGCGGTGCAACTTGGTACCCAGGTCACAAATGCAGCAGCTCTAATCTCAGTTCCTGCTACAAAGGCACAGAGAAAAGCTCTGCAAGTCAAACGGAAAGGGCAAAATCAGCAAGGGAGAAAGAACCACAGCAGAAAGTTAATGGATTTCATGAAAAACCAATCAACAACCCAGTAAACCATAAAGTGCCCTGAGAATTACATTGTAAAAAAAAAGAAAAAGAAAAAAGCATTTGAACACAGCAATGACACTGCTACCACTTTGATTTTACAGATGCCTTTCAGCTAGAGAGCTCACCCCAATCTGCTAACATTAATTACATTTGTACAGCACCACTCTGGAGGAGACGTTAACAGAGCGATTTTATAGGTGAACAAAGGAGTCACAGTCTGCTTTGCTGACACGCTTATAATTTACAGCGTGCCACAGCTTCTTGTGCTGTGAACCAGCACGTCCCTAATGCACGGCACGCAGCCCAGACACCCATCTGACAGCACGCTGGTACAGGAGAGGACAACCTAACTGCCAGCACCCATGGAGTCAGGAGAGGGAAGAGGAGGGAGGGGAAATCTGTGCCTCAAGCCCCAAGTTCAAGGCAAGAATTTTGCTCCCTGCCCTCCACAGACCTTTCAGCAATGCCGTGGGCGCTGAGCCCTACTTACCCTCTATGATCAGGGAGGCTCTCTGGGTTGGCTTCTTTCCAGATTTGATGCGATACTCATTGATGGCATTTTCGATCTCCTGCAGTTTCTTCAGGGCATTCAGGTAGGATGTCTTCCTCTGTTTCTTCAGCTTTTTGCTGACGTTTGGGTCACTCGCCAGGCGCCGGGCAGCCTCTGTGATCTGGGACTGAATGGCAAACTCCCTCTCCAGGCGCTCCAGCTCTGCCTCCTGGGGAAAGGCAAGTGGATTCTGGCTACCACCAAACTCTCCCAGCCCAGCTATGGGGAAGCTCCCCATGAAACTGGCCGGTGGCCTCCAACCAAGGCTCTCCATCAGCAAAATGTCCACAATCACAATGCTCTCGCTGTCTCAGGGCCTCTCTGAGAGTGCCCATCTCACCTTCATCTGCTCACACAAGTACCTGGGAGCACAACTGGTGGAAGGGATGACCCATGCAAGGAGGACATGTGTGCTCCAGCCCTAACCCTGCTGTGCTGTTTGGCTTTTCATGCGATTCAATATGGCCTAGCTCAGCAGTGCTCTACTGCTGACACATTTGTCCTTTTACACCCATCTTATGGGTAACACCTTGTCCTGGTTTTGGCTGGGATAGAGTTAATTTTCTTCATAGTAGCTAGCATAGTGCTGTGTTTTGGATTTAGTACCAGAAGAATGTTGATAACACTCTGATGTTTTTAGTTGTTGCCAACTAGTACTCAGACTACTCAAGGACTTTTTGAGCTTCTCCTGCTCGGCCAGGTGCATAACAAGCTGGGAGTACAGCACAGCTAGGACAGCTAACCCAAACTGACCAAAGGGCTATTCCATACCATATAATGTCATGCTCGGGGGGGTTAGTTCGGTCGGTTGGTCGGTTGCGGGCAGAATGGTCGCAGCTCGGGCTGTGTGATCGTGGCTTGGGGGGAGTGATCGCTGCTCAGGACGGGCTGGGCATCGGTCAGCGGGTGGTGAGCAATTGCATTGTGCATCACTTGTTTTATATATATTCTGTATATTCTCTTTCGATTATTATTATCACTATTGTTATTCTTCTCTCTTATTAAACTGTCTCTATCTCAACCCACGGGTCTTACTTTTTTTTCCCCCTTTTCTCTGATTCTCTCCCACATCCCACAGAGGGAGGGGGGGGAGTGAGCGAGCGGCTGCGTGGTGCTTAGTTGCCAGCCGGGTTAAACCACGACACACCTGCCTCCCACCTCCTCCTCCTTCTCCCTGTTTCCTATCTCTGTATTTGAGCCCCATTTAGATATCAGTGCTATGTATTGATGCAAAGCTACAGCTTTAACCTTCTTGACAGGTTTGCTTGGCACCCACCAAACTCTTTGGAGCAAAAAAGCCAAAGATGGGCTAATCCCTCCCTGGTGTATGGCTGTCAAAATCCAGGGGAGAATATGTGTTGAAGTAATTATGGGCTGCTGCAACTGATTGCACCAGAAAATTGTCTCCTCGAGTTACAAGCCAGGAGGGTGATTTCAGAGCGAGCAGTGTGTAACAGCAATCTTCCTGTATGCCAAAAGGACTAGTGTCTCCAACATTAGCCCTTGCAGGGTCTCAGCTGAGTTTTTAAATGCAACCAGGTGTACCTTGGAAGCTACCTACTAGTCTTTAGTTAGCCTCCAAAGTCAAAGGATTTAGGCCAATTTATGCCAATGCAGAAGCTGATATGGAGCTTCCTAGCCTGCACTGGGACCCCAAGCTGTGCGGTATTTGCTCATCTGCAACACACCTGGATACCTTCCCCAGCTCAATAGAGTTTTTGGTATTAGTTTGGTAGGAAGGGGAACACAGTACATGTCAAATGAGAGAAAAAATTACCAGCTTTTTTACTTCTAGTGAATGGTGGGAGTTCAGATTGCAAGCACTGTCAGCCATATATTCATGGAGATCCCCATTACGCAAATTCAAACTCTTTCTCTTCATTTAGCAGTGGCGTATGTGGCAAGAGCTGGTGCAGTGGGAATTAATATGACTGAAGTCATTCTCTGAAGTTTTTATTCTGGGCTTCTGGCTTAATAAAAAATCTTTGCTGTCAGTAGTGAGTCAGCATTGCCTTAAATCCATAATTATAATTTCCCTCACTTTACTGAAGACTGAACCCACCCCCCATCTTTTTAACAGATCCCTTTTTGCTTTGAAGAGTTTCTAAGCTCCATCAGCGCCAAACTTACTAAAAGTGAATTTGACACCACAGAGTTTTAAGGCCTGGAACCTGGTTCACCGCCTTCTGGCAAAATCCTTCCCAGAGTCAGGAATTATGGAACAGGCAGAGGTGATTACCAAAAAATACAATAGGACCCTTCCCTGCAAGTCTTTCTCTGACAAAGCTCTTACTAAAGGTATGGAGAGTTTGATGCAAGCTGTCATTTCAGACCTTCACAGGTTCAGTTCTAAATAATTCAGTATATCTTAGAAAAATCATATTCATTTTCCCTCTGGCCATAATTGTCTATTTTCTTCCAGTGAGGCCTCTATAAATAAAGCCTCAGAAAATGAGGGCTATCATCTGCCTTCAGATGGAAGTGCCTTGCTTCAGGTCCTTGCCACAGTTGGTAATATCAGCCCTGGATTTACGTGACTGAAGGATTATTACACCTTTTGTTTTAAATTGAGTTTCTAGTGTTTGCACTTGCTGAAAAGCGCATGAAAATCATCACAGGCCTCTCTAAATGCTCTCAAACTGGCAGCCAAATAAATACAGCTCAACATCATTCTTCGAGAACAGAAATTTATGGTTTTCAACACAGTCTTAAAAGTTTGACAGATGAAAAGGGCGGTGGAGAAAAGCTGAGTCAGCATGTTTGGATGGCTGATGCCAAAAGGCAGAGTGCCTGCAATGGGGAGGAACTGCTTCACCTCCACGCTCTCCCCACCTAACCCTGCCACTGGAGTAAGGAGATTCCTCACCCGCTGGCTGCAAAAGCTGCATTGTAACAGTAAGATCAGGGAAGCAGGAGATCAGGTTGTAACTGAGCAGCCAACAGACTGCAGGGGTTTTAGGAGTAACTCAGCTAAGCCGTGCTTCCCTTTGAAAAGCTTAATTAAATGTCCTAGTTCATGAATATTTGACTGCGGTGGAATTCCTCTCCCAGGCTCCATTGAGAACAAAACTAAAGAGCTCCAGCTGTTTATTTTTTCAGCAGAAGGAAAATGCCAACAAAATGACAAACAGTTAATTCCCTGGCTGAACAGAGCCTTAAACCGCACAGTCACACCAGCTTCGGTCTCTCCTCTTACAAAAATAAAAAGGAAACTCAAGACTGGAATATACACAAGTGTCTTGAGACAAATGCGTCTCTGCAGACAATAGCTTTTCTGTGAATCCGGTCCCGCCTTACAGCTGCTGCAGGCCTGTTTTCACAGCCACGGTTCAGGGCACTGACCCAGCACATTGTGGGAGCAAGGGAAGAGAACAAACACTCCCTGGCAAATGTAGACAAACATAATTCCAGCTCCCCATAGGTAGGGACGAAGGCTCTTTTGTTTAAGGACTGGGGAGCAAAATGCTTTCATCTTGCTGTTGCATGGCTAAGATGGATAATTGTGATGCTTTTCTCCCCGTTACAGGAGATCTGAATTTGGATTGCTACTGAAGCGGAAAGCAAGTGGCTGTTTGCAAGAACAACACAGGACAGCACAGGGCTCAGATGGCTCGGGGGCTCCTGATGTGCTCCTTACTGACACAAGTCACTGCCCTTGGTCACCAGAGTGCTTGGACTCTCATGGTCCAGTTGGTCACCCAGGCTGTTTTTGTTACCTCTAGCAAAGCCAGGGCTGAACTTTGAGGGTTTAACCTTTACTCCGAGTATGAACTTAAGGGCACCAACTCTCTCGCTGCTTCCCTGTTCTGATGGATATTAAAAAAAAAAGGCACCGTGACCAACTACAGTCATTTAAAGCAAAAACCACTGTAAGACTGATGGTTCCTATGTGATGCACGCTGGACATCTTAAGAGACCTGAGGTAGGGACACGGGGCTGGAAGGGAAGGGTGCAGCCTTACCTCTCCCTTAGGCAGGATTTTCTGCTCATCCAATTTAAAGGCAGTTCCGATTCTTCTCCTTACAATAGGTGGCTCCTCCCCAGGATCTAGGGGGTATTCTCGTGGCAGCTTTCCTGTGAGCTCCTGTAAGCAGAAAATTCTGTTAGTCATCCGGGAAATCCTACAGCAGAGCAAAGCACACCACCACTCTTGAACTGTGACTGTAAAATGACATATCCAGTTCAGCCAGCTGACAAACATACAGGAGAGCACCCAGCTCTGCAAACTCGTCCCAGGACCTGACACAGAGGGTGGGGAACTTTTCTTTAGCCTGTGTATGCATACAGATTTTTGTGGCCTGCCCGGGGTAGGTCTGTAGGTGGTGCCCATCCCTAGGGCGTTGGGGCCTGAGGCTGAAAAGACTACAGCACACACCACTTTCATCTCTGCCACAGGGTGAGCAGGAAAGAAGAGCTGCTATCATCTGCTGAGCCGCTTCTGAGAAGGGGGTGAACAGATCCAAGAGTCTTCACGCAGGATGCAGGTCTGCTGAGTCAGAAAGCCCCACTGGCAACAGCCATGCAGGTTATGACCTGCACAGAAAAACATTCCCACCTGATTCATGATGTGTCTGAGAGGAATGCAGTGAAAATGGCCACTAAAAGCAGTGCCTGGTACCTCATTACCTGTCTGATAACACTTCATGTATCAGAGCCCTTTCCAAACCCTGGTGATGTCATGGGCAGCTTTGGAGCAATAGTAGATGATGCTTTGTCAGAGTGATGGGGTCATTTGCAAAGATTTGTTCAAAATCTGAAGGAAAACCCACAGAACTGAGGAGTATGTGGAACACAGGAAGCAGCAAGCGCTGCATCAGTTAATGCTGTGGGTTTTTTTTCCCTGGACTACACAATACAGCCACACATATCTGAATTGAAGGCATTCAAATGCCTACAGAAAAAGGCAGGAGCCTCACTATGAGCACAGCCTGACTCCTTGTACTCAAAAGTCTGCCCACGAAGGACAAAAGGCTTTTGTGTTCCTTAGCATCAGCCTTGAGAGGATCCAGCTGGCAAAGTAACCTAAATCATCTGAATCCCAAAGAACAGCAGCTGACCTTAATGCGAGTGTGCAGCTCAGGCCCCTGCCTGCCCCGGCCTCTCCCCTGCTCCCTAACGGGGTTTTTCTTTCTACTTTTTTCAGGTCACTAGGAAACAAGGACCCGGCCTTTTCAAATCCTTCCTTTAAGCAGTTCCCAGCAAAATGGGTTTGCAGTGAAGCTCTGTACCGACATGCACAACCCCCTTTTGCGAGAGGCACTGTTGCAGTCTCAGGAGTCCCATTCTGCATTGCCCCTCCAGCCCCGTGGGGTTATTTCAGCGTTTCTTCTGTAATGTGTTCCTTCTAGCATCATGTGGCTCTAGGCACTGCATCAAGACACAGATTCCTGTATCCTTTCCCAAGGGAAAAAAGGATATTTTCTTTATAACCCCTAACTTAATATGAAGCAGGAAATTAATGTGGGCTACCATGCTGCCTCCATAAACTGAAAAGTATTCACAGGCACAGTCCTGAAATATAATCTAAATTAATAAGTAACTGGAGTAGTGATGGCCTGAAGTAACCTGATGCCACTGTTATGACTGGCTCTGGCCATGCTTATTTCATTATGCCCCCACTTTTAACCCGTTTTTATCTCCTGGTTTGCTGCCTTCTTCCTCTGTTTTGGCCATTCCCATGCCAAAGCAGAAAGGATGAAGGGCAGACTGAGAGGAAATACTTCCTAGTGGAGGCTGCTGATGGATGAGCTGTAGAGTTGCAAGACAGGGTCAGATTCCAAGTGTCCATCAACTGCCTCTCCTGGATCATCTACAGAAAGCACGAACACTTTCTACCAGCTCTTAAGGTGCTGACAGATGGGCTCTGTTCAGCCTTGCTGCAGCACGTTATGGAGATATTGCTCCTTACCGCTGGCTCCATGCCCCAGTGGGAGCTTTTGCCTGCATCCCGGTTGCTCACGAAGTGGCTGAGGCTGCACTGCAGATGGGGCTGGGGTTAAAGTGAAGGCACTGGCCGGTGAGCTCCTGCAGCTGCGGCACAGGCACATCTTCCCCTGCATGCCTGCTGCTGCATGGCATCACTCATCAGCAGTAAGGCAGTGTTAGCTTAGGGTGGGAAATTCCTCCAGGGCAAGTAGAGCCCTCCAGTCCTTGTCCATCAGCCCCCGAAGAGTGTGTGACTGCTTCCTGCCGATGATCTTAGCTCTCTACTGGATGGACTTATGAGACTGGATCTGGTCCTGCGACCTTTATCAGCATGAGTTGTTTGCTTAAGTAAACCAGGACCTCCCAGGTGGGAAAGGGTTGCTCATGTGGAGTAAGGGATGAGAACTGGGGCAGCAGAGACTTCTGCTGACTTTCTTTGTTGAGAGGTATTTTACACAACTTATTCTTCTTGGCATTAAAACTATAGACTAATTGAAACAAAGCACAATGAGAGCTAAATCAGTGACCTATTTCCTCCATCTTTGTCAAAGGCGAGATACACATCAAACATTAAGCAACAACTGGACGATATCGGTGCCACTGTCCACAGCCAGCTTCCTGTTGTGTTACACATCACAATTTGTTGTTAAATTCAAATTTCAGGCCTGGTAAACAAAGGAGATTGCTGAATGACCCAAGTGTATGCTGCTGCTAATCTCCACACACATGTGCAGCAGGACTGTGACTTCCCCAAATGTTAAACTGATCTCTAAACTGGCCTCCTGTGTAATCCAAGAAGGAACTGGAAAGTGAGTGGAAGGTTATGAGATGAGTTCCTGAGTTATCCTGCATGTCCTGGGCTGACCACAGTCGTTCCTCTTCACAAGGTCCACCACCACACTGCCACTCCTCTCCAGCAGTGCCAGAACTTACTGGATGGAGGGAGCCTACATGGAGCAGATGAGACCTTGTGTGCTGTACATAAGAGTGTGCTGGGAGTAGACAAGCATGTAAGGTCAGGCCTGCTCCAAGAAGAAAGTGTATGAGCCTGGGGTTTTTTTAGCTAATGAAGTCAAAAGGACAGCCTTCCTGCACCTTTTAGGTAGCTGCATATTCCCACCAAAGTCAGTAAGAAGCCTGGCTGAATGCACCTTAAACACCATTTCAAACAGCAGACATAGATGCTGAGCAACCTCCTAGCCCCAAGCCAGCTGGGTACCCAACGGACATGGGGTCCCTTTCTTTGGGGGGGAAGTGTCCTGTGACATTGCAATCTGGAGTTGAAACAGCTGGACCTTCCTGAGGCCTTTGTACAATGGGCTTTGCAAGAGGTGACTGTGGAAGGGATCTCTTCTCCTGACTCCACACCACCTCCAAACAACAAGCATGCTATAACAATGCAAGCAACAAAGTGTTACAGATTATAAAATATCCATTGCCTACCGCTTCTCGGAGACACAGTTTCTTTAGCTCTTCTAAGCGTTGGCGCAGTGTCTCTTCCAAAGCTTCTTGCCTGGATTTCAGTGCAGCCAGCATGTCTTTCTTGGCAGACTGAGAACTATCTGACTCTTGGGAACCTATCAATAAACAATGATTTCACTAGGCCAGCTGACAGCAGAATACACATCTGGAGTGCTTGTAATTTTACCAAAGCCTGGATGCAGTCCTTCCAAAAGAAATCAGACTATGACATGAAGCAGGTGTTACCCAGTCATGTTTGTTTACGGCAAATTCTTAATGTTTAAGCTAACAGACAGAGATTGGACAGTGGGGCACACAAAGACATTTGTCATAGATAGCCAGAAAAAATAAAGGCAACAAAATTATTCATGTAAAGATCCTAGAAAAGAAAGACATACCATTCCCATGGAAATTCTCAATGTTTACAAAGCCCAGGAGATGCATTTTGGGGAAATTAAGACTAGGAGAAACCATTTGACAATACAGCCTACTTCTTAAGAACTGCAATTATGCCAGTAACAAAAATTTAATTTCATCCACTTACAGTGCCTGTTTTATGAAAGAATGTAATGGAACAAAATTACCTAGCAGGATTCCTGTAAAACACACCAAGAGAACAATAACCCATAAGTCCTCCTGGGATAGTAGCTGTTTCTTGTGAAGACGTAGGTCAAGATATTTAAACTGGATGTGCAAATGGCTTGACTTTTCAAGTGGCAATTACCCAGCAACTTCCACTGAAGTAAGTCCATGCATTAAGTCAGACTCTGTTGCTCAGATGTCCTGACAGCATTTGTAACTTCAGCTCTTTAAGGGAACTTATTAATGGGGTTCCTGATTTTATTTTGGTTTGGGATGGCAGATCAATTGCTATCCAAGATCTAGCATCTCAAAGAAGGGGCAACATTGTTTCCACCATTTCTGGGTCCCCAACTTGAGCAGCTGATTTTTCAGGATGTGCTTAGCATTCACCCTCTTTAATGCACCTCTGGGCTCAGGGATGAGTTTATAGTGAAGTCACTACTTTGCTCTCATCCCCTTGTTTGCATAAGCTGAGTGCATCCTTTCATCACAAAGTAAGGTCGTGAAGGTTATGGCCATGCTGTGAGATGAAAAGCAAACTCAGGAAGGGGTAAACACCATCTCTACAGGCTTTTCACTCATCTCACTGGCTGGGGGTCAGCTACAGCTGTAGTTCAAAGCATCCACCTTAGATTTATGGAAAGCTGAGTTCTGGTATCAGTCAGCAGGAGCGTCCCACGTCTGTCCACAGATGACACTGAGAGCTATAGCTCCACACACGCTGAAGCTCTGCCCCACGCACAGCTCTGGAGCTCAGCCTAAGTCTGCATCTAATCCCTTTTTATAAACTCCATAGTGGGTCTTGAGCTGGGCTAAACAAACAGGGCTGCTGTGGCTAAGGGGTTACTGTTGCCTCAACAGAAGTGTCTAGGTGATCAAAGATACCTGAGATGTCTTCCATGGGGTAGCAGATAGGATACAGAACCCTGCGAGACCCACACTCTTTTGAACTGGCAGTAGGATACTCTAACCCACCTAAAATGGCACAAGACACCTACATTTAGACAGCTGGATTGTGCCCAGTGCTTTGTAGGGACTTCTTGTGGGGTAGGTTTATGCCTGCAGAAAAGCCTTTGACTGGGCAATGCTTTCAAGGGCGTTCCTCCTAGTTCTCAGTGGTTCCTCTATGGTCTTAGCACTCGCTACCCCAAGGTGACTCTATTGGGCTCTCCTGCCCCTCTAGAGCAATTGCACAGAGACAGCAGACCTTTATCATCTGCAGGAGTCAGGTACAACAGGATGCTACATGGAGTTTTCTGTGCACCTGTAGGATGGGGGTGAGGTGGGGCTTCCAGATTTGCAGCTTGGCCTCCAAGCCTACAGTTAAGACACTCAGCCCAAGGAGCATGAAAATGTTGCTTCCACTTCACAGAGCTCTGGAATGAACCTGGGAAACATTCTTCATTTTGGCAGCAAAATAGAGTAAAATTTGTGCTTTCAGCTTCATCTTTCATTGCTACTATTCCAGCAGACCATTAAAGCTAAACTGAAAGAGAACTGAGGCGACCCATGCCATGAAACAGTTCTGCACTGGCCCAGGGGGAGATGAGAATCTCACAGATCTTTCCCACCATTATTTTCTGCAGTTTTCATACAGGAAGACAGCTGGCACTTATTCTGTGAAGCGCCACCCCCCTTTGTTACACCTTTTATTGGGCTATCCTGGAGTGGGGGAGGTGGAAAAACGGCTCTCTAAAGATCAGCCAGGTTGAGCATCATCATATAAAGAAGGACAACCTCATGGTAAGATGTTTGTTTAGTTGCTGTAGTCATCCTCCTTTCATTTGGGTCTGCCCTCATAGAGCAACTAAACTCAATTCTGCCAACACATCTGTGCTGCAGGAACTTGATGGGATCTTTTAGAGAAGCCTTGTATTTGCACTGGCAGGGAAAGCCCTCTCTAGCATTTAGCAATTCTTAATAGCAACCCTGGTGAGCAGTTACTAGCAAAAACTAAACGGCTGAATTTCTTCACTGAATTGCCAACAAACTGTTGAGTCCCAGTAAAAAGTTGTTCATGATTCCAGCAGATGTTTCAAACCCCCCGTATTTTCTTTCTTTTAGGACAACTTTAATGACCTACGTTTTCCTTTCAACTGCTCTTCTCCTTTCCTTCCTCTCTCTGCTCCCTACCTCCACACCAGCTTCAGATTTATTTTTAAAAGCTCTTTGGTTTTGCACTGCGGGTTGCCACAGCAGCTACATAGATGCTGAAACATTTAAAAGCATATGAACAGGCTAAGACCTGGCCAGATGCCTGAGCTGATTCGGGGTGTGCCGACAAGAAGGAAACGAACGGCTTCTGGCTGAGCTGGTACGGACCCAAATCAAGCACAGACAGTTCACGGCATTTGCTCCAGCTGCGCTCACCCTGCGTGAGAACCACGCTGGTCTCAACCCCGATGCGGTCGCTGACACTGTCCACCAAGGGCGCGTTTTGTCATCTTTTTCACCCCTCCCAGAAAGCAAAGGAATTGGGGGAGATCTGGAATCGCATTGTCACACTCTGAGTTAAGCAGTGGGATTACTGCTAAAACCAAAGTCATCCACTCCTTGGCACTAATGAACCAGTTTAAATCAACCTTTTCCAAGTGTGTCTTTTTATCACAAACTTCTCTAGTGTAGCGAGGGTGCAAAGGACAGGGGACAGGGTTCTCAGTTCATGGCTTGTGATGCTGAATTTTTTTAGCTTGCCCATACCTGACTTGGATGATCCCTTGGGCATACTGCAGGACTCACATATTTCTTCAGACCTTCCTTGAAGTTTCTCCTTCAGGAACTGTTCTGTTCTAGCTGGTTTTTTTTTAAACTTTTATTCAAAAGCTGAACTATTTTGGGGTGTATTATTAGATTTTTATGGGTTGGATTCTCTGCTTGTTCTCACAAGTGAAAAGCAAATGGAAACTTGATCAGTCAAGAGAATCACACCCATGTGAGACACTTCTAAAGGAGTGGAAAACAGTGCTTTGTATTGCTGGGGTGCCTACAGCTTCCATTAAATGCTCTTTATTTCTAAATATGTATTAATCCAGCCTTGAGCAAGGCTGTGACCACAGACCCACTTCTAAATCCAGTGGCAACTGACCCATAAATGTCAGCATAAATCAAAAGACCATAAAAACAACCAAAGAAATAATCAAAGACAAGCACAAACCAAACCAATCAAGCTGATACTACCTTAAATCAGCCTTATTAAATATGATGCTCACTGAGTCATGGCTGTCCAGTGCCTTCCAAAGGGGGTCATCAACAACGAAAAATCAGTCCTGAAAGATCAGTCCTAACTTGAGAGACTCCTACTGCGACAGAAATAGTTGATTGGGAGGCTTTCTCAGGTATGGTACCTCCCACAATTAGGGCTAATTCCTAATGCAGTAAATCAAGTGAAATGTTGCTGAAATATCTAATTTCCCTGTACAGCTTTTGAATCGCATCTAAATATGGCAAACCCTTCATGCTACATCCGGCTGCTGGCTCCAGCTCGCTGGCGTTTGGTTGAGGTCCCTGTGGAAGGCTGTCCCCTGAGCAGGGAGGGGAGGTCCCCCCACGCTTGCTCCGTGCCAGAGCCCGGGCTGACTCACCGCGCCAGGATGTCAGCGCACAACAGCCAGCAACCTCAGACGGCTGCTATCTCTTGTCTCTGCCAGACAAATAGGATATCCTCTGCGGCGCGCGGGAGCCCAGCTGGAGCTGCTCCGCACAGGATGCACTCAGATATCCTGTGGGCGACTCATCTTCGTGAGCCCCCGTGCTTGCGGGCCGTGCCGGAGGCTGCACGGGTGCTGTTTATCCGCTCCAACACCCGCCGGGGCGGTCCAGCTGGGAACCGGCTGGCTGGGCTCTGTCGTGGCATTTTCAAACGTAAACAGGCCCCTGCACAGGAAACCTCCACCGCTGGTGAAGGAATGGAGCTCAGGGGGCCAGAGGCTCCCCGAGCATGTCTGCAGAGCTAAAGCAGAGGTGCTTCTCTGTGGTGGTCTCTCCTCTGCCCACTGAGACGACGAAGGTGGCCTGGAGGTCAGTCCAACAGTAACCCAGCAATAACAGGGCTCCTCACTAGCTAGGAGCCCGGCAGAGCACTTAGAGCACAGACCGAAGAAAAAATCCACCTTAGATCTAACCTGATTTTGCTCCGATAATTATCTCTGCTGGCTTTGATTAGGGTTCATGCAGTGTGAAAGCAGAGCTTTCATTCCTGGGCAAATCTTGCCCTAGATGTCCAGGGATGGCTCAGAGATCCTGAGCAGAATATCCCTGAGCTAAATCCCAGCAGCCCACTGTTTTAGGGACCCCCATCAGAGCCAAAATGAGGACAAAAGTAAAGGAGCAAGCTTGTCAGAAATGCACTGGGGAGCATCAAGTATCAAACTTACAACTCTGGAGCAGACACAGACTGAGATCAAGGGCCTGGGAAACACGGAGGGGCTTAGGCTTTGGCCCTGAATTGCTAAGATCATGGGGAAGTCACTGCCCCAGTATAAGACTCCATCTCCCCTCTGCTGTGCCTTGAGACTGTAAGTGATGTGGGGCAGCGACTGTCTTGCACTGCACAGCAGGATCTTGGCCAGACAGTGTGACAGCTGGAAGCAACAACAGATATTTCCTTGCAGCCTTGCTGCAATCCCGGGGGAGACATATCAGCTTTGGTGTGCTCCTCGTGGCACTGATAGCCCCTTCAGTGAGGAGGATTGAAACGGAGAGAGGAAACGGCTACAAGCAGTTTCCAGGAAAAAAGGACTGAGAACAGTAGGGAAGTGGGAGCAAACAGATATTCAGTCCTGCTCTTGTGATTTCGAGTCACTCAGGGTATTTATAGCCTGGAAATCTACTGTGGCCACTTAATCATTTGCACTTATTCTCTCCAGCGCGCAGGCTGTACTGCGATAACCCATCATTGTTGTGACTGTATGCCGATAATCTTCAGCACAATGGGAGGAAATGCAAAGGCTGGGACGGAGCTGGTGACTGTGCCCAGCGGGACAGGCAGGGAATGCCCCCTCCCGTCCAGTGGGACAGGGCTGGGTCACCTCTGCCAGCCAGGCTCAAGGGAAGGGGGTCTTGGAGCAGAGGGGTCTGGGTGACTGTGTGGAAGCAATCCAGGGTCTCCAGTTCCCTGGTATCTGTCCTCCTCTGCCAGTTGTCTTCTCTCTAAATTTCCTTGTAGCTGCTTGCGGCTGCTGGAAGGCACACAGCAGCAGCAAACCCCACAGCTCTCCTTAACATTTTGCGGAGAACCCTGTCCTCACAGCTGGTAGGACCTAAAGGAGCTCTGGACACAGGAACCTGGATGGAGCCATGCTCACCTGGTCCATCTGCAGCACCTCAAATGAAACACAGGTTCACACAGTCCTACGCAGGAGTCCAGGTAGACTGATCCACCTACCCAGGCCTCAAGAAATGACTCACCTGGTCAATGAACTTTGCATGGGTCTAGTCACTAGTGCAATTCTGCTGAGTCTGCTGAGTCTTAGCCAGAAGGGATTTGAACAGGGAGCAAAAAAAAAAATAATACACAAATAAAAGCATGGGCAGCTTCCAGTTTGGTATTTACATCCACATAACCCTGATAGGTGCTGGCCCTACAGAAGCTTTTCTGGGCCTGATTTTCTGCTGGCTTTCACCTGGCTACTGCTCTCCCAGTGTGAGAGCAGAAGCCGACCCCCACTTTTTTTTTCCAGGAAGGTAAAAGTCAGCGTATTAACATGAAAACAGGATTATTACCAAGTAGCTCTCACAAACTTGGGAACGGTGCCCAGGAGGCTGATATCTTGGAAAGACCTTAAGAACTTCCTTGGGGTACTTAACGTTATTTACCTTCCAGCAGGAGAGCTGGAAAAAATGCCAAACAAACAACCCGACACCAGTTTGGGAGCTGCTCAGCTACTGCAACTCCTAAGCGATGGGAGGCACAGACGGTGGATTGTATACTTCCTCAGGAGGACCTCAGGAGCAGAAAGGCATCTCTGTTTGCAGACAAGGCAAGGAACTGCACAGCAGGCTGCTCTGGAGCTCTGTAAGCACTGCATATTTTAACCCCTTGCTGGACATTTTCCAGGCAGGAGTGGCTTTTAAGAGACATGAAGGATACAGTGATGCAAAGCTTACCTACTATGCCCGTATAGGTTCAGTTTTAAAGCATGTGTGTTCTTAGATGGACTCTTCCCTTGTCAAGCATGAGAAGATTATTCTCTGGTAGTACACATCTCAAAACAATAGTTTTCAGTAACTTGACATTATGCTTAACAGAGGGCATTTAATTGACTGGAACTGTTAATTATAGTGATACCAACTACTTTGCCCTCCTGAAGAGCTTCTTACCTAAGCAGCTTCAAGCTCTTTGCAAACTATCAATCCTTGCTTTGCTCCTGGAGTGATGTTTAGCACTGTTTTACACACAGCTTGCCCTGTTCAGACTGACAGAAGAGTTTCAAAGACATACAGACAAGTTCCTGACTCCTCTTCCCTGGTCCTTCTGATGCTCTAGCTCTCCTCAATATCAACTTCTCTTGGGTTTCTTTCACAGATTATGTCTTCCTTGTAACAGGAAGGAGCTCTAAGCCACAAAAAGAAACCTCTAGGTCCCCACACTAGTATGGAGTAGAGTGCTAGGAAATAGCTCCTTTTGAGCCTGGGATACCAGGCAAATTCCAGCAGCAGAGAGGTAAAGCAGATGTGCACTCTGTGAAGAAGCCACCCTGCCTCAACACTGCTGAAGGACATCCCCAATCCCCAGCCTCAGTTTCCCTAGTGAGCTGCAGTGGCTGACTGCTTTCTTACTGCTGGTTGAGGGCTCCTTCACAAATGCATCTGCCTAGGGATGAGCTGGGTGCCAAGGGGTGATTATGCCAGAAACTGTGAAGAGAGACCAGGTCTCAGCTAGAAAGTGAGAGGTTGGAGATGACATCCTGAGGCCAAAGAGAAAATGAGCAGTGGTAATGAGAGAGGGGGAGGCTGCTGTCTGTGCTGTTTGTGGGGCAACGTGCTGAGAGACAGACTGACACCTGGACAGACAGAAAGGCTAAAGGGAAGTGACTTTCATTTCTGCAGTGCATTTCTGCTCCCCATTATACCATGGCCATGGCCCTTCCCACCATATTCTCTCCAGCTACAGGATAGAGGACCTACCTGATGACAGAAGACTCCCACTGCTGCCGCTGATAATTTTGCCTTTACTCCCCATGTTGGCCAGCTTTGAGGTCTTGAGCGTTCCAGTTTCAGTCAGGTCAATGGCAATCTCACTCAGGCTTCTTGCAGCATGTATCTTGGACTGGACACAGACACAGGAGTTAGTTATGATCTAGCACTTCTTTAAAGCTCACAGAAGGAAAAAGTCCTTTTGCTGTGGCAGGAAACAGGCCTCCATGGCAAACTTGGATTATTTTACATGAATAGAATGGATCTGGCACAGTATTCACTGCTGCACTTTTTACATTCTTAAGTGGGTACAATTCTGGCATCGCTTCCTGTTGTTTGTTATTTTCTCTGCTTTGCCATGCACATTTTTCCCTCTTAAACAAACTATGTATGGAGTCACTGTGTTACCACATACAATAAGAAATCTTCAGAAATGCCAGCATAATAAACTGCAAAGCCTGAAGGCGGCTAAAGATCATCTCTAGCATCTAAAGGAAGGCAGGAGGGGCCTTTCCAAATCTGCAATAAGCTTTGAACCAAGACACAGTGAGGACATGGCTTAAATGAACTGTCATGAGAAGCTGGAAAAAAATACCAGCAGGAAAATATGTTCAGGTTATGGTCCAGACTAACAAGCCACGTGCAATGCCCCTGCTGTGAGGGACTTCTTCAAAGCATTAACATTACTCTAGTAAGAAACAGTAGCTGGCTCCAATTCAGTAACTGGCCACACTAGGGCAAGGAGTCACCCATTGTACACCACCAAATGTCAACAGTCTAGGCACCTCCAGAGGAAAGTCAATGTGCATACTGCATAAATCTACAGAATAGAATAGAATAGAACAGAACGGAACAGAATACTGTGCTACATTTCAGTTGGAAGGGACCTCCAAAGATTATCTAGTCCTCCTCCTATCTTAGGAGGGAATGAGTTGACTTCCTAAGATGTCATCCTTTCTCCATTGGTTATGGAAGGATTTGAGACAAGATGCCCTGAAAGTACAGGTGAGATAACTCCAGAACTTTCTCTTCATTGAGCAGTGAGCTCAGTTGTGGTTATGCCACAGAGCCAACAAAGGCAGAAAACATTCAGGGCAAGGGAGTTAGGGGCACTGAGAAATGAAATCAGCACAGTGGCTGCTTGCAGGGTTGGGCTCACTCAGTCTTAGTGGCTGCCTTGCCTCTACAATACCAACCTCACTGTTAGTAGCTCACCATCCATCTCCAGTCCATTCTCCTGGCAGCCTCTAGCAGGTGCTTAACATGAACAAGAGGATGAAGAACATTGATCAAAGTTCCTGGGGATGGCCCTTCAGTTATATCCCTAGCACTACCACAGAGAAGAAATCTATGTATGAGGGTGTCTTGGGTGGCCACAAGAATTTTTCAGTCCTTTTTGTGATCAGTACAGCTTTAAAATAGCCTTAAAATAGCAACTGCCACATCTGAACAACCCCAAAGCCTCTCTAGTCCTCTATCTCATTTTTGACTGGGGTCATCTCCAAGCACTTCAGAAAAAAATATAACGAAACTTTGCATTAAGCTATTGTGGCATAATCTGTCCACATGGAACATTTCCCTCTGCCTCTTCTGAACTAATGCTTATGCTCTGAGCTCTATTTTAGGTATTGGTTGTTGAATTTGCTTCAGGTAACAAGCCATGCTGACAGGGAGGAAACTGACAACCAGGAAGAAGCTCGCTGTCTGTAACGCGGCACACAAAGGTGACTGCTATTTCATCTCCGACCTGGAAATCACCTTTTTGCTTGCTGACCCTCTTGTGAGCTCCTCAGTCATGGATGGAGGGAGCCTGGAGCTTGGCTCACTGCCCAAATCACATAAGTCCTGTGCTGCTGAGCTTCAATTAGCCTGGCCTCACAGGGCCACTGACCTGCAATTTCTATTTCCCAGAACCCAGAAAGTTGTTGGGACATTGTGCCGAGGCTCTTCAGCCGCACAGAAACTTTTCTTCAACAGGATGGTGAAGCCCCGGTTCACCTGAGCATTCACCTCTGCACCTCCTCAAGGCCAGAACAGATTCTCAGCCCTAGTCATACAGTTCAGGTGTTGGGCACATCATTACACATCACTTAGCTCTGTTACTGATCTGCTATGGGTCTTTGGGTAAGAGACTTGAGGTTAAATCTTAGCAATCCCCTGCCTGTTTGCACATCAATGAGATAATAAGGGAAGCAAAATGTCTCCCTGTTGCACACGATATTTTGAAAATTAATTTAAGACTTCAAATGAAGACAGCAGTGGGACAGCCTCATACTGAAAACATTCTCAGAAGTATTACCGTAATTTGATATTCTTGGGTATTTATAGCCTCTATCATTACCATTCAGAGGTACCCAAATACCTCACAAGCTTATTTCCACAACCACCCCAAGAACAGGGCGTGTACACTCATTTATTTGAGTGCAGAGGCTGAACTACCTGCCAAGATGTCAAAGCAGATCGGGTAACTGACCCTCTGAAATGAATGATACAACCAGTCAGACACCCCTCATTTCCAGCAGCTCCTCCCCAAACTCAGCCCCAGGAGGACAGCACTCTTTTAACTTCTTGGATCTGAGGTTCCTGGTCAGAAACAAGGTTTGTGAAAGATGTTCTCCAAATAGCTCTGGAAGGTTACTTATGGGTGAAGAGGAAGGTCCCTGCTTTTATCTAATGAGATTTCCTGCTACCTCAGTTTCGATAAGGAGCCTGAGCACAAGCTGCTGTCTTGCTGCACTGTCAGATCTTTGGAGGTATCAAGTCTTCAGGCTGCTGCTATCCTGGTGATTCATCCCCTGCAGGTACATACACGCTGTATGACCCTACATATATGTAGGGTTATGTATACTTTGTATAGCCCCAGGAACAGCCATACTGATGAAACCCAGGATCTGCCTAACCCAATATATTGAGTCCTTGCAGCAGATGTCTAGGAAAGGTACAAACCCCCAGTCTGCACAGACAGATCCTGCCCTCCCGCTCTGCGAGGCAGTGGTTTTCCTGTATTTGTAGGATAGTTGCAGCGAGAAGCCCTGTAGGTTATTTCCACTCATATTCAGACTGCAAATTAGAGCACACTCTGGCCCTACCTGTTTGGCTAGGCAGCAACTTAAACCTGAGTGAAGGCAATGCAACTGGAGGCTGTGGTCCTGGCCAGCACGCCAAGAGGCAGCTGGAAGTTTGCCCTACATAGGGCAAATTAGAAAATAGTGTAAGACCAAAGCCTGGCATCCCTAGAGCCAGAAGAGAGGAAGAGCAAACTAGAGGAGAGCAGATAGGGAATCAGCAGGGCAGAGTGATCTTCCTCCACAGAGGGTGCAATCCAGACCTGCTGAAGCTGGTGGTGAAGGTTTTAGATCCGACCGCAGTTGTGCTAATGGTACCCTACACTAAACAGTTGGGATGGAGCACCTCCTGAAAGGAATGGGGTTAATTTTCCATGCTGCTCAATCCCTGTTGCCTCTGCTGCCTACAGCAATGCCAGTCAGCGTCGGGTGGTCTTGTGCTTTGGACAGCCACTCATCAGCGGCAGGAATCAGACCAACAGCTCATTTCATACAGGCCACTGAGCAGCAGCCAGCGTGAGGCCTGGGCTAGACTTTGTACTGACAGCACAATAGTGGAAAGCTAGATTACATCCCATTAGCACTCCCTTGGGCCCTGCAGTCCCTCCAGGCTCAAAAATTTTAAAGCACTTAGCGCAGACCTGCCAAGTCTCATTTACATGGACGAAGACTGGCTCATTCATGAGTCATTTCAAAGCATGGGGCCAAACTGATCCCCAGTGTTGTTCTGACAGGGTCAGAGGGTGAAGAAAAATCCATCAGTGAAATGCAAGAGTAGATGGACACTAGGGATGAATTTATCCCTCTTGCTTGCAGTGATGGGGCTTTGCTGCAGGTGAGTTTTTGAAACCCTTGGCCTATTTTCTACCGGTTCATTCAGCCAAAAAGCTTTGCACTTGGAACAACGTGCTGTTGGAAATTCCCACAAAAAGAGACTTCTCAAGCCTTCTAGGCCAAACGCTTGATTGACTTAGTGCAGTCAACAGAGCAAAGACATGCCTTGAAGTCCTACTGCATCTGTCTCCTGAAAAAAAGGGAAGCTGACAGGAGTTCTGCACGCTGACATGTTCACTTGGAAAGCTGGGGTATCTTTTCAGTCTCTGTGTTACGCTTCAATTGCAGGGAGAGAGAGACAGATCAGCGGGGAGCGAGACGCTGGGAACTCGGCGAGCTGGCAGGAGTTCAACACGAAGTGAAGCTGCAAAGGCAGCTGGGACCTCACTCCTTTGCCAAAGGGTCAAAATCCAGGCAAAGATGATTTTCTTTTTAAAATCAAGTGAAGGGGCCTTTCCAGTGGAGCTGTGCAGAAGGTCCAGAACCAACTGGTACCCAGTTATGTGAGCAGCATGGAGTTCAAGCTTGCTTTATGACTATGTCATATCTCCTGCCATCTAATCTACATTACTGGAGTGAAGGTTCAGTTGTGGTGAGCTCCAGCAGGCTTTTTCTTCTAAGTTTGTTTTATTTTCCTTTCTTTTGTCAAAACGATATGAAACGCCAAGTTTGGACATGAAAGGAGGGAATATCTAAGTTTTGCTTTGAAGTTGAAGATTCAACTGAAGTGGGGACTGAGATTTAAGGGGATGTGAACCCATGTGACCTGGAACTCGAATAAATGTTTGTCTAAGCCCTTGAGAGCTAAATCGAAGACATTTCACATTACATGACTCTGGAGTATGTTCTACTCATTTTTGAAAGTGAAGCGCACATGGGTACAGTGTCCTGAAGCGACCGGCAGGATGAATTGACCAGATCAATTAAAAATGATCAATCTATCAATCTTGACAGTGTCACGTCAAAGACGAGGACAACAGACTGAAATACCATCTCCTTTAAGAGAAAGGGACAAAAATACATGTATGCTTTAACTTCAAAGCCCCAGCGTAACCACCGGGATTATTGTGACAAAGCACGCTGACATGGTCACAGACGTGACAGGTTGACAAACGAGGGCTGGTGGGTGGTGCTGTCTGTAGGAGTGTGAGAGAGGGGAGATCAGATTGAAACACAATCTGCCAACAACAAAAGAAGTCACTGAAGGGAAGTCCTGGGCATTTAAGAGACCCAGTTTCTTACCAAAGAAATGGGAGGAGGAGGGAATCTCCTTTTGTTTGTTCATTGCTTCTGACCTAAATACCTTGCAGCTAGATCAGCAAATCCATCTGGCTAAAAGTAAAAAAAATAAACTTCTGTTTGTTTTCTGAGTTGGTTTTGTTGAGAGCAAAACAGAGTGAGCTATGCATTGCTCTGGTGGTGCTGAGCAGAGGTGGGAGACAGGAAAGCATTACCTGGTATTGGGTGAGTGCAATTTTGCCCATATTCACAGCTGGCACTTAGGCAGGGGTGAGAAGTTAGCTACATCCCTAAAGTCAATACAGCTCACAGCAACTAAGATGAATCCTCTTTTTTTTGCATTAGATGGGACATGGCCAAAGTGGGTGTAACCATGTGTTCTGCCCAAGTCATCTGAAAGTCCTACCCACTCTATAATAAAGTCACAGAGATCGTGATGGGGAAAGCAATGTCAGAAGGATTTAGAGTGAGCTGGACTAAGAGCACACTGATGGCCCTTCACGTAATTTCAGAATGCCAATTCAATTCATTGAACTGGAAGAAAAATAATGCAGCAAAGAAAAACAGGGAAAAGAAAGATTTTTCTGTCAGCTTAGTGGGCTTAACTGGCTCATGAAGGGACCTGATATGACCACGGCCTGTGCATGGGAGGGAACAGCCGCCACCTGAAAATGGGGGCAGTGCTTTCAGCAATAGTAAGATGTTAAGCTTGTTCAGCCATTTTGAGAAGTATCACCCTTCAGACTCCTGCCACGTCACCAGAGATGGGGGCCAATGCAGGCAGCTGCATAAGCATGTACCCACTTAAAACACTTTTTATCTTCTCTGTAAATTCTTACACTAGAATGCTCGTATGGAGAGGGGTGTCTGCATGAGAAGTCTCTCTTCTGTCTCAAAGTGATCAAAGCGATCTCCTGCTGCTCTGGCTATATCTAAAATTACTGTTGAATTAGAGGAAAAACACACACTCCTCTGGTTTCAAGGTGGTTTCTTTTGTGTATTGAGCAGTCCTTTGGGCAGCACCAGATCAAGACAGTTCCTTGTTAAGGCCAGGCTGCCAGAATCCTGTCCCTCTCCTTCTGCTGTAAGATTCTGTGTGGAGAGAGAAATAATATCCCTACCCCTCATGCCTAGGAAAATACGATAGTAAAAAGCAAGGGACAGCAAGAAGGATTCAGAAACAGGTGTAGAGTGTGAAGCTACTTTGCACTCTGTTATTGGAAGCTGCCCTAACTTTATGACAGAGTTCAAGAACCAGAAGACACATGGAAACCATCCAGGCAGGGACATGACCTTATCTGCATGCAAGCTTTGGCTCCTCCAATTTGGCCACAGTTCAGTACAACCTTTCCCTCAGTCCTCACTCCCGTAGACATCAATTCGATACAAATTCCCTCAACCTGGCCAAAGCCAGCAGGTATTTTGAGTCAATTTGCCTTTTTTTTGATCTCAAGTGGAAAGGGAGGGTAGGAAAGAAGCCACCATCTGGACTTGACCTTGCTGGCACCGTGGGGAGTGAGAAGGACTCACCCACCGCAACATGCACTTCCCACCTCCAGCATGCTTACCTTGCTTTGTTTTCTGTCCAGGTAGAACTGATGTTGACTAATGGCCATAGCCCAGATGGACTTTATTAGTGCTGGACAGGCGTACCACGTATGCACAGCAATGCCACTATGCCCAAAAGTCCTCCTGGTCACAGATGCCCTAGAGAGAAGAAAAGAATGAACTGGGGTTACACCAAGGTTTCCTCGGGTAGTTTTCTGTGGCAGAACCTATCCCAGACCTCATAGTAAAAGTTGCTGTCTTTACTGTGCACACCCTTGTGCTAATGGGGAAAAATGCTTACAGAACAGCAATAAATAGCTACTCAAGCCAGGACAGCATTTACTTTAAATAACTCCTCAAGTTAGCAAGCTCCAGAGGACTAACAGTAAAGATCATCCAGTTTGTCCAGTTCAGACTGTATTCCTGGGTTTGGCTGAGCTGATGCTGACCTGCTACGTGTCCCAGGGGAGTCACTAATGCCAAAGCATGTGTGAATTCTGTGTCTCATCATATGCTGAGACACCTAAGGCCAAGCCCTCACACCCTCCACTACCTCTGGCTTTGGACAGTGTTTCTCAGATATTAGGATCTAGGTGACAACTAAAGATCCACAGGACCAATGGCTGCTTTAGAGAATGTGGGAGAAATCCTTCAAGTATCTTCACTTCCCCACTTGTAAACAGATGTAGTAGGACTTGCCAGGTGGTATGGGAAAGGGGAGCTGTGAGGCTCAGAGGGGGCTGCTTAGCGCCCTGGAGAGAAGAATGTTACTCAGCGATTAGCTGAGTGAATATAAAAACAGGAAAAATAAGAGCTAAATGTTTCCTCTCTGGGACTCCCAATTGTCCTCAAATACTAGCAAAAAACACAGGTTAGGTTTCCCCGTGCTTTCACAGCTGTACAAAACTGCTTGATTATTCCTCCCCACCCCTCAACTCTAACCCCACCAGCAGAGCCCCTGACACCAGCACACACAAGCTCGCAGCGTCCTGGTCTGCAGAACCACTCCCACTGCAGGGATGCAGCACTGGCTGGAGTAAACCAAGCCATCGATCTACAGAGCCCCAAATAAATGAGGTTCTCCTCTCCAGCCTCTTAAGAAGAGTCTTGTGGTGGAGTATGATTATGAAATGAATGTGAGCACTAATACACAGAAACACTCAGAAACATGACACTTCTGTTACAGCCTTTTACCTAGGGACGTGGATGGTGAAGAGGGGCCAGTGCAAGAGACAGCCTGGGGAGCAGGGTGTGCTACAGAGGGGCTGCCACAGCCCATTGCCAGCAGGCACTCTGCGTGATGCAGGTGTGGAGGTGACACTGCAGGACAGCCCTACTGTGCAGTGCAAGGGGTGGTCGACTCTTTTCCCAGCACTCTGAAGTCCTCAAGCCTGCTAAGGCAGTAGTTCCCCTCCTGCACCTGCACTGACCGCCTCTCCTCTGGTGCCTGTGGGCTACTGCCCTGTCCAAAATTGGAGGTGAACGTGAGGATGGGAGGCAAACGATCAAAGAAAGTTGTGATAGAGTCAAGAATGAAAGAAAAGCAAAACTCTGCAGTGAAATGGGAACTGCAGGCCGAGTTCAGCCAGGCCGAGTTCAGCCTGGGAGAGGGCTGACAGCTCTTCTGTCAGGGCCTTTTCAGTGCTGCAAAACGTGTTAAAGTCAAATTGTGAAGCTACAAATCGGAGTGAAATTTATTTGAGAAAACAACCATGGCCAATGCAAACAAAATCTGAGACAACTGGGATCTCATGTTTCAGTGTTACCCTGTGCTGAGTCCTTTCCATGCGACTGGAGCAGAAGACCTTGTCCCGTTATGAATATTGTTCTTGTGAGAAAACTCTCCGCTGATGCAACAGGGCAGCAGCTGATGGTCCTAATGAGGATGGCTGCTGGGCTGCCTCATCCCTGTCACTGGACAGGGAATGAAGGCTGCGCTGGAAGCTGCTCTTGAAGTTGAAGCTGGAGAGGGGATCCAACTCTGGATGCTTTACGTTGGCTTAAGGGACACGAACTGCTGCAGCATGTTGGCATATAAGGCTCTAAGGCATTAAAGCATTCAAACATGGGCTAAAGCCTTAATTCTGGTGTCATCCTATTCAGTTCAAACACAGTTACTTGTTTTGAGCTCTCAGAAACATACTCTGCAAGCTATTCATCTTCTCGTTAGAAAGTCTGCAGACTTTGCTAGTCAGAGCTGTGGACTTGCTTTCCACAGCTGTCTTCTGGGGACCTGTAAGACATGGCCCATGGGTGTTTTTTCCATGACTTCCCTGCATGCATGCCACATGCACTATGGAATTAACCCTGTCAATACCCCCTAAAATGTCTCATTTCCCTCCTTTATGGGATAAGTAACCACGACGAAGAGAGGTTAAATGGCTTGTTTGGGACTGGAAGCCACGGGCAGAGGCAGGGCTTAAAAACATACATTGTGCTGCCCAGCCCCAGCCACAACCACAGAGCTGTGCTTGCTCTCCTGCGAGCGTGGCTTCGCTGACTCAGGCTCTGGTTTGGCTACACAGAGAGGAATGTGGAGAGAGCACTGTGTCGGCTACTCCTCCACCTCCACACGCTGAACAACTCCTCACAGGAGCCCATCCCACTTGGCCAGGAGTCTACAACCCGAGCTGTGTTCCCTCCACGCTACTGCTTTACAGCCAGCATACCATTTTGACCTGGACGGTGGTACTCTCTGGATATGAAAATCAACTGAGTTCCCTTGTAGTGAGAAAGCACCAGGCTGATAGCCTGGGACAAGATTTTGTCCCCCTGGCGTTGATTCAGAGCAACAGCGCGATGGAATAGAAAAGGGAAGCTCTTCTGTGTCAGTAATTCCTATCATCTAAATACAAATGAGACAGAAGAGGTTCCTCTGTGTGGTCACATTTCATGCACGACATTGAGTTGCAAGTATCATCACGATTTTAACATCCCAGTGCTACTCGCTTTCTTTTCCTTGTCATCACTGCTTAAAGGAAAAGGCCAGCCTGGGCATTTAGGGGCTTCTCGCTGCTGGGTGCTTGCAGCACGCATTTCTGACGCCTCGCCCGCTGCCGGAGGCTCGGTAGGGGAAGGAGTACACCACCCCCAGCTCCTGCTGCTGGAAGATCTCCCACCATATTCTCAACTTCGGGAATTTGCTCTGCTAGATTTCATGCGACTATTTACATGCTTAATATTAAGCAGATGCTTCAAGGCTCTGCTGACCTGGAGCTACAGAATGGTATGAGCTGCTCTACTCAGGTTTTGCTTTAACAAAATGCACCTATAGAGACAGGCAGCACTGTATTGGTGTGACCACATTCATATCAGGGCAAATAAGTGCAGAAACAGCATGCAAAATTCCCCTAATAAAAATAAATATATTAGTACACAGATAGGCACGGGAAACAGGTGAAACAGGATCACAGCTGAGCGATCAGCAAAACATGCTACTACCAGCAGCACATCAAATCAGCCTAGGTAGGAAGCTGGTTTCCATCAGCCGTATTCATACTTACTTTGCAAGTGGGACATTGCTTTTAAGCAAGAACAACTTGGAGAGAAGTATACACGCTGGTCACTGTCTGCAGTAACCATCCAGTAATGCAAATGAGCAAGGAGTGCAGAATGCATTGATCAGAAGCAACACAGTCACTTGAACTCGCTCCCATGTTAGGTCTCTCAAGTAAGAAAAAAAGACTGATGGGCTTTCATCCAGACTGCCGGTAAACCTCTGGTACCATGCCATTCTTTTCAGTTGCACTACTGAATATTTATTTACAAGGAAGCATGTGAGTACAAAATCTGGTGCCCAACTCCAGGCTCCAAGTGCAACATGGGGACAAGGCAACCCCCCCCTTCCACGCACGGGGGTTGCCGGCACCGCAGCTGGGGCACCGGAGCTGCACAGCCCCGGGGGTCAGAAGGTGGCAAAACAGAGGGAAGAAAAAAAAAAAAAAATACCGCTAGGAGCTGAGGAGAAACATCCTCAAAAACACCCACCCGAACCCAAAATGTCCCGGTGGAAGGAAGCAGCAGCCCCCGGCTCGCTACCCGCTGCCCCTTGCTGACGGGCTTCCAGGCTACCAGGGGCAGCAAAGCCCGGC